TAGAGTTCTAAAAGCATACTAAACTAACATTTCAAAATAAACATAACATCATAACATCAACTTATTATCTCCGAAGTGGTAGTGCACTTAATGACAGTGTACAATGTAACACCCACTTTCCACTTATTATGTTATAGGCGCAATTGGGATGATGACGGGGTATGAAAAATATTATACACGTATTATTTTATTAAATTTTGTTGTATAATAAAACAATACTTAGATAAAACGAATCAAAGTTTAGGAGTGGGGCCAATACGTCATTTCTACGTATAAAATGTACATAGAAGTGACGTCAACCGACATTTCAAATCGTATCGTCGAAAGTATTCGTTTCTGTAAGAAAATAAAAAATACGTGTCTAATGATTTAAAATAATCTACCAGACGGACATTAAAATAAAAATTAGGCATCTATCCTATTGTTACCCAATAATGCGTTAAATCTTTTATCTTTCGCAATAAAATATCTTTTCCTCATTGTATGAGTAGGTTTAATAGCTTAAGTGGGAAATCGTCACAGACATACAATTTTCATAATGATACATAAATATTTAGTGCCCCATAAAGAAAACTTTGGTAAACTAAGGTACAGTTAGCAGCAGAATCTTTGATGATCAAAACAGATTAAGATGAGTTGCTGATCACGAAATAAAATTATCGCCTTTTATCCCCGTAGGGAAGGCTGAGGTGGACATTATGCCACTGTACAATGTAACACCCACTTTTCACTATTTATGTTATGAGTCCCATGTAATAAGGGGTGAGCTTATTGCCATATATGGGGCACAATTCCAGACTCCGTAATACTACTGAGATTCATAATAAGAGTAGAAAATGAAGACACCGAGCCGATTGAGATCTGTCGCGGAGTTCGTCAAGGTTGTGTTCTTTCGCCGATGCTCTTCAATATTTACTCAGAGGCCGTGATGTCTGAAGCATTAGAAAACCTCGATGCTGGAGTAAAGATTAATGGCACGCTGGTAAACATCTTGAGATATGCAGATGACACGGTTCTTGTTGCTGCTTCGGAACGTGACTTACAGACAATTGTAAATAAAGTCAACGAGACAAGCGAGAAAGCCGGTCTGTCTATTAACATCAGTAAAATCAAGTTGATGGTTGTCTCCAAAAATCCTGATCTTGACCCAATTATAAACATAGATGGCAAACCACTCGAACGAGTACGACAATACAAGTATCTCGGTGCTTGGGTAAATGAAGTATGGGAATCAGATCAAGAAATTAAGACCCGGATAGAAATTGCCCGAGCATCTTTTAACAAAATGAGGAAAGTTCTGTGTTGTCGTCAAATAAACATTAAGCTCAGAGTTAGGTTACTCTTCTGCTACATCTGGCCTCTAGTCATGTACGGATGTGAAGCATGGACCGTGAAGGAGGACACTACGAGACGTATAAACGCATTCGAGATGTGGTGTTACCGTCGTATGCTCCGAATCAGCTGGACACAAAGGGTCAGCAACGAATCCGTGCTACAGCGCGTCCAAATGACCCGGAAAATTATGCTGACCATCAAAAAGCGAAAAATCGAATATCTCGGTCACGTGCTTAGACACGATAGATATTCACTGCTTCAACTGATCATGATGGGCAAAGTGGAGGGGAAGAGACGTGCTGGGCGCAGAAGAAAATCGTGGCTGCGAAACATCCGGGAGTGGACCGGCATTACATCTGTCGAACAATTGTTCCGCATGGCTACCGACAAGAAGAAATACAAGAAGCTGACGGCCGACCTTCAACATTAAAGAGGCACTATAAGAAGAAGAAGAAGAATTAATATACTAAATCCTGTTCTAGTATAAACCTTACCGAAATATACCTGTTTTAGTCAGTAACTTTTCTGAAAACCGCATCAAAATCGGTTCAGCCAATCGCGAGATAAATGCATCCAAACATACATACATACACAACTGGTCTAGTAAACGACCTCTTTTTTTTGAAGTCGGTTAACTATGAGATTGAATGTTAACTAGGTATTTTAGGTTTTGGATTCTTTAAAATCTGTAATTTCGTCTCTTTCATCGGTAACTGTCCTAATGAGAAGTAAACAAAATATCATTACTTATACTTTATTTGGAAAGCGCGTCTCTTCCCCTACGTATTAAAGTAATAGCATCGGTTATCAGCGGAAACAAATAAACTCGTGGACAGTTATGAAGATTGAACAGTTTCTCATGGCTCAATCTAAGAGATGAGTTTTATATTGTTTTATTTGAGGGTGTGCTCAATTAGGAAGATTATTTTGTTATGTTAATGTATCTATTTTGTCTTTATTGTTTTTTGGAAACAGATTTTTGAGTTTAGTGCGTTGAACTTTTTGGAAAGCAACCTTAAAAACAACTGGCTGTTAAAATGTATTAAACGTTTCATTTATAAGTTGACTAGCTTCTGCCGGCGGCCTCGTACGCGCAATCTCGAAAAAAATTTTGGGGTGGACTACCCCTAACATTTAGGGGGAAGAAAAAAAGATGTTGGCCGATTCTCATAGATACCAGATAAGCACAAAAATTTTTATTTAACACTAGAAAGACGGGAGCAGTCATTTGACCGCAATTTGATTTTAAATGTTAAATGACTTGAAATCTATTTGAATTTTTAAACTGATACTTTGTGACTTTTATTTATTTTACTAGTTAAATGCAACTATGTATGAAAATAAATCACAACTCTTTTATTTATTATTTAAAATCTTGTTCTACCGACAAAGACGGCGGCAGTCATTTGACTGCTGACAACCAATGAGTGTTTATAAGTGTAATATGAGAGGGTAGAATACAAATTATATACACTAATTCATTGTTTATAGTTTTTTTATCAAATGACACCGTATCATTTCAAGTGTCTGTGAACTTTTACGAAATTATGAAAGTAGTTTGTGGTCGCAACGTGTTGGAGTTTTGAAAATGAAAAAATGTTTGTTACTTCCAAAATATTTGTGAAGATGAGTCTGATTTTGACTCTAAAAATACAAAACGTGATAGCGACGACGATTATGTGGTTACTACTTGTCAGTTCAAATTCCTCTACGGACGGAAGTGACCTGAAATACCAGATACTTCGAGCAAATTTATCAGACGTTGTCAGGTCGGGTTCTCGTGCTTGTAGTCGTTGCTTTGATAGTGATAAAGGCTGTGAAAGGAGTTTGGAAGATTCTGAGCATCAAGGTCTTTTCACAACTATCGACTGTATCTTGTATACACCTCAAATGGCATCTACTCAAAGTGGTCAAATGTCGATGAATCCGTTGATACAGATGCGTCTTGTGCAACTTTTTGCAAATACTGGACAAAATATTACGAGCATCTCAAAGGTGAAATAGATTTTTTTTTCATATATGAGACCTAACAAAGATATAACATAATTTAGATAATTTTCGTTTTTAGGTAAAATTCCTTCATTTGGTATAGGAAAATGTAGAATATTACATGAAACAAAGGCTATTTATAGTAAGTTCAGGGGGCGAACTTAGAAGCAAAGTATAAATTGAAGAATACTCTCTGAAACTGAATCCTTGCCTGAAAAGTCTAGATCTTTTACTTCCCAATCTTCTGCACAAAATCCAGTAAATTCCAAAATATTATATACACAAATGCAAATACAAAACCCATAAAGAATGCGACAATTGCAAAAAGCCACTTTGCGGCTTTTGTAATGTAAACAAAATGATAAAATTAGAAATTCTATACATATTACTTAATTAACAGTATATTATACCATGTTTGATACAATAGGTACCATTTCTAGCACTTAAACATAAAAAAATATCAATAAAACTTGGAGCAGTCATTTGACCGCTCGCCGTCTTTGTAGGTAGATGATTTTTTCCGTCTTTCTAGTGTTAAAATCGGTCAAGCTGTTTCGGAGGAGTATGGCAACGAAAACTGTGACACGAGAATTTTATATATTATATGTTGTTTGTTATCCTTTTCTGTATCATCGTCTTTAGCTATAGCTAAAAATAAATCACGATTTATCTAAAATATACTTTTTTCATGGGATAGGCCAGTAAACGAGGGAACAGATCACCTAATGATAAGCAATCGGCTTCGCCCATAGACGCCTTTAACACCAGAGGCGTCACAAGTGCGTTACCGGCCTTTTGGGATTAGGAATTTGAGGATTGTTGGAGATTCAGGGATTGGGGAAGGAGGGTAGTGAAAATGGACCTCCAATAATCTCATTCAAACTACGAAACATGACGCAAGCGTTGTTTCACGTCGGTTTTCTGTGAGGCCGTGGTACCACTCCAGTCGAGCCACTGCAATCAGCGAATTCATCTTTAAACAAGCTGCTCACACCGAGTGTCATTGTACACGCTCACTGGTCATGCATTGAAATGCTCGTTCAGCCATTACTTAAGCCCCGCCCATCTCTAGTTCCGTTTTTATCAGTTCCACTTCACTCCACTGGACTTTAGTGCATTTATCACTTTTTATTCTCCACTTGTCTCTCTTTATGAGTGCATTCATTTGAATATAATTTGGTTTTAAATGGTGAGGCAGCGATTTATGTGGATGCTTAACGTTTATTTATATGACTTTTGCGATCAAAATATTTATGAGTGCTATGAAAATATTATTTTATACCGGAACACTGAAGTCCTGGGGATATGAATAACTGTCTTGGTCCCCGAAACAAAATGAATCGGAAGATATTAGTAGAGTAGAAATTGAAACTATTGTAATTACTCACAATCCATAAATTCCTTAACCCAAAAAGGCTGGTAACGCAGTTGTAATGCCTCTGGTGCTTCGAATATCTATTGGCGGCACCGATTGCCTACTATCAGATCATCCGTCTGCTCATTTATCGGCTTATCCCATAAAAAAACTTACTTTCATTATCATCGACGACCACCTATAATGAGACTGACTTACGACCTTTATCAGACCGTAGAGGACTATCATATGCGCTTCAAACAACATATTGTGTCTTCTGGCCTATCCGATCATAACTAATAAATTCAATTCTTTGTTTCAGATCCCCCAAGTTTAAAAGTGGAAGAAAAGTCCAGTTGTGCTCCTAAGCTCCAGAGATGGTGCAGAAGCCGTCGATGTCAGTTGTGGAGACTCCTCCTGCTCCCATTCATTCCTATCCTGGCCCTCATTGTACAGACCACCTTATCTTTGAAGAGTAGCATCACCAATGGACGAGATGTCGCTGATGTTGAAGAACAGGTAAACGCAACATTTTGTATAGGTACATAAAAATGCACACTTTTTTTAAGGGATGAAAATCATCGAATGTTTTCTCCCGCCTGGGTAAGGCGGAAGAGAGTATCAGACTCTTACTAATGAAACTAAAAACCATCCCGTTCCTACTCCTGTACTATGAACCGGAGCCCCGGGAACTCGTTAAGTCCTCTGCGACTCCGTTTCGGCATCAGCCCTATTGGGTCCCACCCGTGGTGGTCTGATGGCTCTTTGAGGCTCGCGCGCAACGCGACGCGCTGTACGCTCGGATCTGGTTCTGGTCCGGCGGCGAGCTACCCATGCTCACCGTCCATAGGCCCGTAATAAATCGCACTCTTAACACCTGAACAAATAAGAGGATGTGCACATTTTATAGTTAAAATGTAACACCCTTTCTGCCAGTTATGTAAGATTGTCTTATATTGTCAGGTAGATTGATTGTTCTTTACATGAACATTTTGAAAATCACATGATAGTAATACTTTGGCTTACTAAGAAGACTCAATAGATCGGGGTTGAGACTGGGCTCTTTAATACATCTGAGCTTTTTTAACTAGCGACGTCCAATTCGCCTAGCAAGCACAGATATTAATAATAATCATTTTATACATACAGCAGGCCTATAGAGTTCAACAATGTACGGTCACGGCCTATAGAAGAACAAAAAAAAAAAAAACAATTTTTGATTCTAGTAGGCGTTCGGAGCAACAACCAATCAACGACTCTTTTTATAGAGAGATACGATTTAAAAATGTAATTTATTTTACGTCAGTGCCGATAAAATAGCGTTTGATAGACGTTTGTATTGCGAGCTCATGAAAATGTATGAAATACGGTTCAGATTCTCTTATATTTTAGATTTTACTTAGAATAATATAGATAGAAATATTATTTAATGGTGCTCTTGAGACACACTACTTTTGAACGCGAAAATAATTTATGCCAATGTATGCTTAAAAATAAAGTTATAAATTAGGTTAGAAATGTTATTTAAATTTATGTCATGAATTGCAAAAATAAGGTAATACTGTGTGGTATAATAACATGGTCCCGTCTCGTATTCCTTGGTTTGCTGACATAAGAATAAGTGTGGGAGAGCCATGCTTCGGCACGAATTGGCCGGCTCGACCGGCCTCACAGAAAACAGACGTGAAACAACGCTTGCGTTGTGTTTCGTCGTGTGAGTGAGGTTACCGGATGCCCAATTACCCCCTTCCCCAGTCTCCCCAATCCCCGAATCCCCCACAATCCCCAAATTCCTAATTCCAAAAGGCCGGCTACGCACTTGTAACGCCTCTGGTGTTGCAGGTGTCAATAGGCGACGCCGATTGCTTACCATCAGGTGATTCGTCTGCTCGTTTACCGGCCTATACCATAAAAAAAACATTAGAATAAGTAGAAAATATATTGTAACTGCGCATATTCCTCTCAACAAGGAAAACAAGCATGTTTTCCTCATTAGGAAACCGAACTGGTTCAGTGGAACACAGTTCGGACTGCAGCCCGAACTGTGATGCATGCGGAGTAATTGAAGATGTCCAACACTTGTTATTGGAATGTGTCCGATATAAATAAGAAAGAGAGAAATATTAATTCAAGAATTGAACATTAATGTTGCAGAAATAGGTGCTTTTCAGTCCATCCTGTCCAATCCATACTGAGACGATACTGTCAAGATCTATGAGTTCGTATGTAGTTTGGACAGATCCTAATATATCTCGCTACTCCATTAATTCTCATGGTCACTCTGGCATAATCCCCTTAGATTTAAAGACTCTTATTAAATTTCAATAAAGAGAATAAAATATAACTTGGTAATTATTTTTTGTAAAGGTATAAAAAATTGTATTGCGACTTGTATAAGGTTTATTTTCTTTTGTTCCCAGGTCAGTCGGGCAACAGAATTGGGAAAATTGGTGACGAGATTGCAGCAAGAGAGATCAGAAGTGGCTTTCTTTATTTTCACCAATGGAAGCACTTTGAGGTACAAAACAGTTGAAAATATACTATTTACTGCTTAGCTAAGTAAAGTCTTTCTTGAGCCATACTAAATTAACTAAAAATCGCGGGTTACTCACGTGAATATATTGAGAAAAGCTCTACTAGTTTCGAACCACAGAGGGGTTCTTCCTCATGAGCAGCAACAAGTAGCAATACCAATACGAGTACCAACGCTAGCCATTAGGCTGCGCGACATCGCCGCGACCGTGCACGCTGCTCATGAGGAAGAACCCCTCTGTGGTTCGAAACTAGTAGCTTTTCTCAGTATATTCACGTGAGTAACCCGCGATTTTTTGTTATTTTAGTTACGTCCTGTAAATAATTACACTACGTTTAAAATCAGAAAACAGATTTTGAACTATTTGTTTTTTTTTAAGTCAATTAATATATCTACTAAATCCTTTATACTGCACGGTTGGGCAGTCGTTGAGCTAAGTTGCTGCGCAACGTGACGCGGGTTCGATTCCCGCACGGAACAACTCTTTGTGTGATCCACAGATTGTTTTTCAGGGTCTGGGTGTCATGTGTATGTGAACTTGTATGTTTGTAAACGCGCCCAGGAGAAAATCCTAGTGTATATAAAAAAATATAAACATTTTTTTGAAAACCACATCAAAATCGATTCAGTGGATTGCGAGATAATCGTAGACAAACACTAGACCGGACAACATACAGGTCAAACTAAGAGATTCTTTTTTACCCATCCGACCCATTTCTAAGAATGAACACAACAAACTTTACTTCCTGATTAAAAAAATACACAAATATACAAAGTGTAGTTTTGAAGCCGTGTCATTTCTCGGGGTTATGTCACGAAAGTCATAAAGGTTCAATGTAAGAGAAAGTTTCGGGCCAATAGTTAAAAATACGGCTATAATAAATAGTTTAAGTTTGACAGGATTTCAGAATAAGCGATAGCAATGTTTCTTATTGAAGTTTTATTGAATTAGGAATAATATTAATTACGTGTTTGAGTTTGTGTGTGTTAAGCCTCGCTATAAAGCTACAATCACAAGACGGCGGCGTGTAGTTCGCACTTACAGATTTCCGTAATTTACAGAAAAATAAAAAATATTTACCTACAATTTTGTTTTATTGATTCGGACCTAGAATCGATTGCCTGGAAAATGACGCGGCTTTAAAACAACACCTTGTATTTAGAAGCTACTGTGGAACAGGCTGTCAAAATATAATAGCTTTTTATCGTCAACAGTTAAAAATACACGAGTTCAATCTAGACACGTAATTTATTAGTCATAGCAACCTAGAATTTAAAGTTATACCTTAAGATGCGGTTACTGTATAATCGAATCTCAAGGTCGGTCTTAAAATTTACCTACTGTTATGCGTTCGAATTATTTTCCTTATTACAAACTAGCTTTTACCCGCGGCTTTGCAAGCATCACAAAAGGATGAAAAGCCTATGTGACTTATGCCAATACACACAGCGCCATATCTATACCAATAATTTCGTTTTCCCTCGAGAATACCCTCGAGGATAAAAAGTACCCTATTATTTAATCCAGACTTCAAACTTTACGTCTGCAAAAATTCAAAGCAATCGGTTTAGCAGTTACGGCGTTAAAGCGGAACAAACAAACAAACTCACCTTCCGGTTTATAATATTAGTAAGGATAATGATTATACATTCTCTGGCCACTAATATTTTTATGATAGGTATGTAAATTATTTTCGATGAGTTCATTCTGTTGATATTCAGTATAGCATTTTATTTTTCAGTAAATGTCTAACACTCCCTCCCGTCTCTCCCAGCCGAGAGAAGTCATTCGATGATTACCCCCTTAAAAAAAATTGTATTAGAATGGCTTGATATTTTATAGCCAGTTCGTCGATAAATGGTCTTTTCGACATAAAAGTTGCTTTTCGAAGCAGTACTTCCAGAGATTGTCTCATTTAAACAGACAAACTCTTTAGTTTCATAATGGAAGCATAAAAGTATTGACAGAATTCAATAAATCATTTCATAACTATATCTTATACTATTATATAAAGCGGAAGAGTTTGTTTTTTTCTTTGTTTGTTTGAACGCGCTAATCTCCGTAACTACAAGTCTGATTTGAATAATTCTTTTTTTGTTGGATAGCGCATTTATCGAGGATGACTATCTATGAAACAACACGCTATGGCCAATGGAAGCCGAGCAGAGCGTGTGAAACCGCGCGGAAGTAGCTAGTTTATAATATTAGTGTGAATTCTGTGCCTCGTTGGCCAAGTTGTTGCAAGTGCGACTGCCGGGCAAGGGGTCTCGGGTTCGATTCTTGGGAATTACTACGAACTAACAACTTACTAGGATTTAAAAAAAATCTCACTAGTAGCACGGAGTCTGTAATTCGGTTTAAGACATTTATTTCTCAAAAACAATTTACATTGACTTGACTGAGAAATACAAAATATACATAAGTAGATACAGAATGCGAAACAGTGCCCGAAACAATATATCCGTATTTATGAACCAAAATATTACATTGGGTACATACTTAAAACATACACAATAAAATTACTTTGAGTAGTCGAGGGTAATCTTAAAAATATTGTGTCGAGAATATCAAACATTGTGGTTTTACTAATAGGAATTTGCAATGGCAATGGTCTTATTACGTATCGAAGATTCGAAACACATTAGTTGCTATCACAGATGTACAATAATAATTATGTTATGGAAAACTATCAATACCGTGCCACACTTTTTTTTATTATTTTTTTGCAGTCATCATAAAATAATGAAATAATAATTAACATTGTATGTGTGTGCATGTTTACGCAATGTATGCAAGAGGTTATGGAGTATTGTTTGTTTTATTTTTATAGTTTAACTATTTACGCATGTTCTTTCCCTTTTGTTAATTAGATATATGGATTTAAATTATGTGGTTTAGTTATAAAGATTATTTGCTTGGTAGTTTTAATATATAGTACTTTAACTTATTTTTGAACAAAGGAAATGACTTTATTTCCTTTATATCATTTGGTAGTTTATTATATAGTTGAACCCCTTCGTATTTGCTGTTCTTACTTCCGTAATTGACAGTGCGTGGTGGTTGCAAGCATATATTGTTAGCATTTCTCAATAAACGTTGTTGGACTTGTGATTTTTTTGTGAAGGATATGTTTGTGTGTATGGACTTATTTAGTATTTTCCGTATGAGATATACACATACTGCAAATATATATATATTTGATCTACGGTCATTAGACCAGTTTTCTGAAATACTATGTTTGTCGATGTAAGATAGGGAAAGCGGAAGAGCAATTTTACTATTTTATTTTGAGAAATTCGCAAGTGATTTAAGTTTGATTTAATTGTGCCATACATATATGTTAAACAAATGACGGTGTGTCTAAAAATGTTGCCGGACAGGACTGTACAAATGTTGCACTCATTTGAAAGTTGTGCGCATGCGAGAGCTCCAACAAATCGTTAGTAGTAATTTGTATTATTGACTGTAGTGCCTATTGAACCAAAAATTATATAAACGTACAAACTTCAAAGAATTTACAGAGTATTTCCAGAAAGTTTGAAATTTATGATTTCAGTTTTTATACGAACAATACGAAAATCGTAAACATGTGACTAAGCTTTACAAAAATAGAAAAACTGGTATTTGTATCATTAAAACTTATTATATTAAGGACGCAAACGAACAAAAGTCGCCGACATAGCTCAGTGGATTAGCAAGATTACTGCCACTTGGCAGTGGGCAGGGCACATAGCGCGCGGAGAACCGACGGCCGCTGGGGCAGAAAGGTTCCCAAGTGGAGGCCACGTACCGGCAAGCGCAGCGTAGGACATCCATCCGCAAGGTGGACAGACGACCTGATCAAGGTTTCAGAGAGCTTCTGGATGCTGGTCGCTTCCAACCGGCATATCTGGAAGTCATTGAGGGAGGCCTATGTTCAGAAGTAGATGTCCTGTGGCTGATATGATGATAATGATATTTTATTAAGGACTCTTACTTACTAAAAACCACCCCGTTCCTTCTCCTGCACGTCGAGCCGGAGCCCCGGTAACCCGTTAGGTTCTCCGCGACATGATATTAAAGACTAGCTTCTACTCACGGCTTTGCACGCGATCCCGTGGGATAAAACACAACCTATCTCGTGTGTCAACCTATGTCTTGTTCCAGACTATACTGCTATAATCCATACCTGTTTCAATTTCATTCTAATTCCTTCAGCTGTTTCGACATGATTGAGTAACAAACATACAGATAAACTCACATTTATATAATATTAGTACTTAAGAAGATAGCCACTAATGAAAAATAAACTTTATAGTGTATATTAATTAGATTTAATTTTGATTAAATCACCCCCTATTACATGGGAGTCAAAACATAAATAGTGAAAAGTGGTGTTTACATTGTACAGTAGCATTAAGCACCGTATTGTGCACCTGTGCCTAACCCTTCGGGAATAATAGGCGTGATGTTATGGTATTTTAATTTGGATTTAATTTTGATCTTCCAGGTCGAATTTATCCCAGCGTTTTTCGGGTACCAACAGCGCGATAGATCAAATGGGTTCGCTGCCAATGTTGGTGTTCAAGAACCGATCGAAACCTGTAGACGGAGACGCATTCAAAACTGAACTCGAAGAACTAAGGTAAGCTTGTTTTTATGTCCTATTTTCCTGTGATTAGGAAATTCTCAAAATGACACCGCGCGCTTAGGTGAGACGGTAGGGAATGTCTCACTCTTACAGTGCAATAATCCATCCTGTTGCAAATCCTGCTCCATCCTGGGACTTCGGAACCTATATGGCGACTCACCTGTGACCACGGCAGGTTAATAATTCTTACCTATCTCTATAAAAGTTAAGTGTGGGAGAGCCATGCTTCGGCACGAATGGGCCGGCTCGACCGGAGTGATACCACAGCCTCACAGAAAACCGACGTGAAACAACGCTTGCTTTGTGTTTCGTTGTGTGAGTGAGGTTACCGGAGGCCTAATTACCCCCTTCCCTAGTCTCCCGAATCCACGAATTCTCCACAATCCTCAAATTCCCAATTTCCAAAAGGCCGGTAACGCACTTGTAAAGCCTTGGTATTTCGGGTGTCCATGGGTGGCATGGGATTGCTTACCATCAGGTGATCCGTCTGCTCGTTTACCGGCTTATGCTTTAAAAAAAGTATTTTTGCTTACTAGACATTGAATTCCATTCACATACAACGTGTTTCATACAACCTAGTGACTTTTAATTTGTGTCAAAGTTAAGCAATAACACAGTGTTTTGGAGTTATGTCCATAGTCAGTAAGAGTCTGACACTCCCTCCCACCTCACCCTGGTGGGAGAAGTCATTCGATGATTTTCCCCCCTTAAAAATATATAAATATCTAAGTATATTACAATGATATTCTGTGATCATAACTAACACGTGACTTGTTAGAAAAGTGAGGAAAATTAAAATAAACTTGAATGGCAAGTGCAGTATCTAGACTGTGTCTGATGTTTGATTATAGGGATTTCCCTTTAGTCATCTCAGGCCACACTTTGGACAAACAGACACAAGGCAAACATCATTTACATTCGTATAAAATTGGAGAATTCATCTTGGATCACACTTTGGGATAAAGTAGGCATTACACAGGATTACATCATTAGCCCAAAGAGAATAACTTCTACACCAGCTTGTAACTGGCAACTGCTGACCAAAGGCCTCTTCTCACATGGAGAATCTTTGAGCATTAATCACCACGCTTGCTTAATGCGGGTTCTCAATTACAAACTTATAATTAGAATTAAGAATAATTATAAACCCAGGTTTCCTCACGATGTTTTCCTTGTTGTTTGTCCTATTTTCATATGGAGAAGGTGAATCACCACGTTTACTTAATCATCAATACAGATAGTTAGTATATGTGTTACATGTATAAATATTACTAAATCATTTTTCGTTGCTTCCGTCCGAGCTTCACTGCAGGGGTGCCAACTGAAAACCAGTGTTTGGTACTTACTGTGCCCAGCTCACACTGAGTTAGCAAACCCTTTGGTCATGGGCATGTTGCCACCTTATTGTTCTTTTTATTATTATCTCACAGGCTCTTCGTACACCTCAATACAAAATTAATCTTTTATTTAAAATTCGAGACAAAACAAGGTCATCGCCTTCAGTAACGGTTTAAAAGTTCAAACAAAGACGTATTTCGTTGAGAATTTCATTAAGAACTAATAAAAGTCCAAGTATTGGTTCTATTTATCTCTATTAGAGTCGATAAGAAAGCAATGAGATTGCTTTTGTTTACCTGTGAGCAATTTATTGTCGATCGAATCTAATATTCTGGTTTCCACTGAACTGTATTGAAGTTTTCAAGAACAAATTGCCTGTCTTATTGGTTGAATGGTCGTGATTGCAGAGTTTGACTCTATCGACGAATATATTAGTAAGTGTATTTATATTTTGCAGCTTACTCATTATTGGATTTGTATTGTGAAATTAAAATGTTGATTGTGGTCTGGTCGTTTTTACTCATGACTCATGTCTCCGCGACGTCGCTGCACGCCAGTATAAGCTACTAGCGTCGCTTAAAACCAGTCAAGTTATCTCAAATAAATTAATTTATAATGAGTATTGTTTTTATGGCATAAGCCGTTAAACGAGCAGACGGATCACCTGATGGTAAGCAATCGGCGTCGCCCATGGACACAACACAATGGATGGAACACCAGAGGAGGGTAATTGGGCCTCCGATAACCTCACTCACACGACAAAACACAACGCAAGGGTTGCTTCACGTCGGTTTTCTGTGAGGCCGTGGTATCACTCCGGTCGAGCCATTCGTGCCGAAGCATGGCTCTCCCACACTTGCAATAAGTATTTATATAAGACAAAAATATTAAATATTATTTAGCTATAAGACCAAAGTATTGAACGACACAGCCTGGAATTGTACCAGATAGCTACAAATGTAATAGTTTGTAAAGATTTGTCAAATTTTTACACCAGAACTAGAACCGAGTGAATCTTGATTAAATTTGACACAGAGATAGATTGTAGTCCGTGTTTGTTATCATACTGTGAACAAGAGTGAAGCTATTGGCAGATGCTAGTCAATTATAAAGTTCTAAAGCAAATACAAGAGCGTAGCAATATCTAAGCGCTTAATTATGCTACTGGGACATACTCCCTAAGAAAAGTTCAGCGATCGATCAAACCTCTCTCAAAGTTTTTATAGGTAACTGGATACAGACTAACTCAGTTTTCTGGTGCTACCCGGGTGGATTATTTAATCTCTAACCGTTTATTTCATTCCAGAGGTCAGCCAGTACAAACAGATAAAAAAAAATGTCTTATTTTGATAACGTAAAGTAAAAGCATGTAGTAAAAAGCGGGTATTTCTATATTACAAACACACACTAAATTTTTTTAGAAGATTTGTGTATGTAGTGTTAAGTAGTGCTAAACTCTACTTATGAGCGTCTAGCATGGCTTGATATTCGGAGTCACGGAGAACCTAACGGGTAACCGGGGCTCCGGCTCGACGTGCAGGAGAAGGAACGGGGTGGTTTTTAGTCAGTAAGAGTCTGACACTCCCTCCCGCCTCACCCAGGTGGGAGCAGTCATTCGATGATTTACCCCCTTAAAAAAAAGCATGGCTTGATACTAGTCGAGTTCCTCGTCAAACAGTTACGTGAGTAAGTAGAAAACATAATAATTAATAGGATTAGAGGTATACTCATAAATTAATTACAATTCATCACACTGATGGCTCGTTAGTTGAAAGGACAACATGCAACATGCATTGTGAAATTTCCATTCTATCGTTATAGTTTCCAATATCACCATAATGGATATTATAATCTTGGCACTCCCATCAGTAATGGTGTTTGTTTGGGTCGTTAAAATCCCATGAGGATCCACTCTTTTATATGGGCTAATCGAGAGTCAATATTATGTTTGCAGTTTGCATAGTAGACGGTATTAAAAGGATTGTACAAATATGGCGTATTGTTTATTTTGAACGGAATACGTAGTTTTGATCTTCGAATCTTGGTAATATAATAAATGCGAAATATTATGATTTTGTCTGGTTGTGTGTATTTGTTACTCAATAACGTCAAAACGAATTATGGGATCAGGATGAAAGGACATTGCTCTGCGTCCATACATTGTTGGCACTGTAGCCAAGAGTATCAGATAATTATGTATTGTATTCCCTATCATTTGTAGACTCCTAGAAGATCTTGTTTTTAGCGGTATAGCTAGCGGATAGCGGACTAGCTGCAGAAAAGAAATGCTGAGAAAAACCTCTTCTCACACGGAGAAGATTTGAGCATTGATCACCACGGTTGCTCAATGCAGATTGGCGATTTCAAACTTATAAGTTAAAATTATAGGCCCAGGTTTCCTGACGATGTTTACCTTCATCGTTGTCAGTGGCGTCTAAATAATCTTAGAAAGTACATATACCTCGGAAACAGTCACATTGCTACTTGCTGTAGGTAGGTTTCGAACACGCTACCTCATGCATGAGAAGCGGGCATCTTGAAATACTATTACTGTTCAATAATAATCAAAGCTACATTTATTGAAAACATATTCATAGGGCTACATGAAAAGAAATAACATAATAATTCAAGACTTTTATTCACCTATAATGGAGCCTGCCTGCTTCATAAAATAGTCGTTAAGATTTTATAGGCAATTCATTGGAGTATCGTAAAAAAATCTTCAAGATAGGTGATTGTCATTAATTGTTTACGCTATGTATTATTTATGTACCTACCACTTTTTTTAAGGAGGGAATATCATCGAATTACTGCTCCCGCCTGGGTGAGGCGGGAGGGAGTGTCAGACTCTTACTGACTATAAAACACCCCGTTCCTTCTCCTGCACTACGAGCCGAACCCGCGGTTAGGTTTTCCGCGACTCCGAATTGGCATGAGCCTTATTGGGCCCTATGCGTGGGGGTCTAATGGCTCTTTGATTCTTCTTTGATTCCATGCTCGCCGTCCGCAGGCCCGCGCTTACGGTGGCCGGAGATCGTCCCGCGATCCCCGACGCCCGGATGTACCTACCACTAGCTTCTCTTTTAATTCAGAAACCTGAATATTAGATACAATCATAGCAACAAAACCTATGTTTTAGCTATTATCTTCCTGCGAGTCTATTTTTTTGACCAAAATCATACAATCTATGTATCTCAATTCAAAATCTTTGGATTTATATTAATTTTTGATATTACTTGTACGGTACGGGGTTTCTGTCAACAAAAGAAGATCGATCTTCAACTAAGAATGGTTATTAATTTCGGCCTTAAGGGATTATAGATTCGAGAGAGCTCGGGTACCAGCGTTCTCTTATAAACCTGTGGGCTTACTCCTGAATCCAATTCCGATCGATTGACATTGATATTGTAAAGTTTCGTACTCTTGAGTAGCAACACTAGCTCCCATCGCATCCGTATTGTGTGGATATTTAATGAACTAAATGGTATTGAGTTTGGCTTTACTCTGAATGCTATTTTAACAAGTACGAAAGAGGTTGCATAGTTTTGAGCATTTTGTTTATCCCATTGAAATTGAATTGACATTGAGATATGTTTCATGGGTAAGCACCCAGAACCTTATATACTGGTACCTCAGTGAGAAAACCGTCTATTTTA